TCAGGGCCACCCAATGCCGTTGCTATCCCAAGCCTTCTTCGTACTGCATACACAAAATACACACCCATAATGTTGAGCATGTCCGTAGCGGGGCCAACCAGTAGCCATCCAGCGGAAAAAAGACCCAATGCGGAATAGATCAGAGTTTTCCCAACTGTTGCTGCATTGATGCGTGTACTGGGCAAGGCCAAGTCTCGCAATAAGTGGTTCTGCGCATTTTTCTCAAATGGATTCGAACCGCGGTACTGCCATCCCTGTTGCCATTCCCCCAGTACTCTCTCCGTAACGTTCGGCTCGGGCGGCCGCAATCCAGCAGCAAGATCAACCCACGTCGGTCGTTCGGTCCACCCTGCTGACATACAAATGCGCCCCGCGAGCTCTGCTGCTCGCAAGCACGCAGGGGCATTGATATTTTGAGGGTCCGCCGCTGTTTGGAGAGCCGTGAAATGGTGAAGTGCACTGCGGCCTAAGCCGAGAAATCGATCCATGATTTCCGGGAGCGCGTCCGCCCAGCTTGCCCAGTAAGCTGCTGCAGACGTGCGCTGCGCATCCTGGAGCCCCATGCCCCCGAGACGGAGTGGCAGTTTGGATTGGTGAGCCCACGTAGAATACGATATGCCATGTAACTGAAATATTCCATTGTTGTTCTGTAGGTATGGAGAAGATCTGTTGGAACACGCGGTGGATGGCATTGTCGTTGTCTGCAGCAAGTGGTTGCACGTCACATGGGGGAACCGTGCGCAGTAGGTAGTTCATCCGCGGGACAGCACAAACATGCAACATAAGCCAAGATGCTTGGCGGGAGGGGAGCTCAGGAATAATGTTTACTAGCTGCGCCCTTTCGTTAGCAAACTTAGACCAATATGCACTAATGTATTCTGTCGCGCCAAATGGCGTACCCAAGATTTTAATACCTCTTCCCCGCAGAGGCTCATCACACCTCCGTGCCGCCACGCTGTCTCCGTCCAGATTGCCCGGGCAAGCGCCCTCCGCGCGGCCCCAAAGTGCCAGTTCACCAATGTTCGTATCGATGTGGCACAACTCTTGCAATGCATGTTTTGTTATATGTAATGCGCACGCCACTCCGTCTGGATCACATGCCAAGTAAATGTCGTCAAGGTAAGCTACCAACTCTGCTCCTGGTGGGAGTTGTGCTTGGATGCGTTGTAAAGCTGGGTGAAGTGCCGTACAGAAGAGCGCTGGCATTACGGCGTCGCCTTGTTCTCCGCCGCCCCCCTGTTGGATTGCATGGACCTTATTTGCCGCATTGCGCCATTTGAATTGAGACGCATCTCCATGCCATTGCCTCACGAATGGTACTAATTGGCGCAGGGCCGCATCTTGTAGCAATTGTTCAAACATCCGTGCTCGACAGACGTGGTCAAACGCCCCCACACCATCGATGCTAACAACGTTGTTCGGGAATGAGTCGGTCACAAATCGCAGAAAAAAATACCGCAGCGTCCGTGCCGCTCCGGTTGCATAGTCCGAAATTGTGTGGCCATACTGTTCGTCGTAGTGCTGTCTGAAATTGCCCGGCGCGGGACTTCGAAACCAGCCGTCGGAAAGTGCCCCCTGACGCGATGCCCAGGATCCGATTGTTGGATTTTTTCAGGGCCGTCAGTGCTGATATGCGCATTGCCATGCGCATTTCATCTGGGAGTTCTGCTTTTGCCACCCTTTCCGCCACATCGCACAGCGCATCAAATGCCGTATTGTCTTCCAGGCACAATTTGAAATATTCGCACCTCCATCCCCATAGCCCCGCACTCAATCCCTTCCTCGATTGCCGCAGGACGGTTGCGAAGACATTGCGATCCAGCGCCAGTGGTGCATGTGGAATGAAATCTTGGAATCCGTCTGGCGCTCGTTCCGCCGGTTCTGGCGGCCGGAGATCGGGGCTCGACAGTTCTGTAAGCGCAGCGTCTGTGCTGGGGGCTAATCCGGGCGACGTAAGATTACGTGCGGCATGGCTGAGCTCTCCATGCTGTATCTTTTCTGTATCATTTTCCATTCGATTTGCCTCCGTATCTTGTGGTGGTCGCGGTTGTTTCCGAATGGACGCATTCGCTAAGTCCAAGAGGCGGTCCCATTCACCACGGTCGTACATAAGAATACGTTGTTTGAGCTCCCGCTCTCCCGCTTTGCCCCCGTGGTGTGTCAGGTGTGCCAACATGCGCGGCAATAGCAGAAACACCGTCCACGCGTCGACGCAGCTAGGCGTAACAGTGTAGTCGTTATTCCAATGTGTACTGTCCACAACAGCCAAACATTGCGACATAATCCGTAAGACTTGCGTCCGGGCACATTTTGGCACCCCTTTCATCGTTCGAATGGGCATGTCAATGTCCGTCTCCAAATCGACGTTGCGCCAATGATGCCAACCATTCGGCATAATGAGGGCATGCCGTGAATTCGGTAGACTTGGTGGAAATTCAGTTGGTCGGCCTTGTTGTGGTCGTTGCGTAATGGGAGAGCGGACCACAATTCGATCGCAGAGGTAATTGAAGAGATAGTGCCTGACAGGGCCATCACGATACAAACCAAGAGCAATGCCAGCACATGTGCCTTCGATTCCACTTACATTCCCTTCAATACGGGTCAATTCATCGATGATGTATTCTTGGACTGCAGGTTGGATGTTAGTGCCTGTTTCCAACAGGGAATTGGCATGGCCACCATGTAACAGCCAAGCCGCCAAGTCTGTCCTATTATGGATGCCTATTTGCCGAAACGCGCGGGTAGCAGCCATCAAGGATCTGTCGAAATCCAACTCAGCCGTGGTAATTTGCATATGCGTCGCCATACGACACAACCAAGCGCATATATGATTCGTTGTGTCCCCGTCGGCAGTTGCCCAAATAATCCGCACATATAGCCTAGACCATCGTTTCTCCATTATAATGTCCCGTACCTGCTCATCAGAAGATCCCACTGGAATGCTGTCCAAAATTTATGTTAAGTTGTGCACAGCAGATCTGGCGAGTCGGTTGGGTAAGAGATGCTGGAAACCAACATCTGCAGTATACGTTCCACCGGGAAGACCGTTAGGATAGCGAGTCCCTATCATCACAAATCCTTCTTCATCGTCATCATCTGTATCCCCAGTAGGCATCAGATCAGGATAGTCTTCTGGCATCTGTGATGGGCGTGGTTGCGGAGGCGTGGTTCCATGTTGCCTTGGTCGGTGGCCCAGCCCAGGTGGTGGGGTAGGGATGGAAGTTGGGGCAGTGGTTGCGTCGTTGGGCTCGCGGGGAGGTCGGGGAGACGTTTGGGCGTCACCAGGCGGGTCGCGACGCTCAGCAGGGTGGGGTGGCGCATTCGTTTCGAGATGGGGTCTTGGTCCGAGGCTGGCTGGGGCGTGCACAGGCGCCGGTTGCATAAGTGTCAAAGTTCTCGGGCCAAGTCCTAAAACGCAGAGGGCTCGGTTGATTCGAAGGGGTCTTCTTGAAACCTCGGGGTTAGTCGGAACGATCGTCGTTGTCGAGGTCGCCAGCCAGCCGCGGGGAAGGGCGTAGGGCGGGCGGACGGGGGTTTGGCGGAAGTCCGGGGGTAGGAGGCGGAGTAACGTATTCGCTCTGATCGTCAGTTCCTCGAGCATCATCATCATCGTCGTCGTCCTAATCGTTCATGCGCCCAATATCGCATGCCAATCTGCCATGGTCTGCAATGGGGTCTGCGTGGCCTTGAACGTGCAGAGAGGGAGCACTTCCTGGGGAGAGGGGCTCCACGGGTCCCTCAACGTGCCTCTCTTCAGGGACCACTGGTTCGTGCGGGAAATGGGATGGAAGAATGGGTGGAGTGAAAGGTCAAGGAGTAGCTGGTCGAGGTGGAGGGGGGGGGGTCCGCGTGGCACCGTAGTTGGCAATGGACGATGCGGTCCGTGTGCCGCCCGTTGATCTTCAATCGGTCCAGTTGTAGAATTCTGCTGTTCTCGCAGTCGCAGTCGCATTCGCGCTGGCAGTCGCAGTGGCAACGGCCTTAGGATCCAATGGAATCCTAAGGATTCCTAAGGGCCCCTGCGGATGCTAAACTATGCCTACGGCTCCCTAACCTACGGATTCCTAAGGATCCCTAGGGATCCCTGAGGATTCCTACGGGTGCCTCAACCTGCCTCAGTTTCAGCCTCAGCCTCAGCCTGCCTCGGCTTGCCTCAGCCTCAGCCTGCCTCGGCCTCAGCCTCAGCCTCAGCCTCAGCCTGCCTCGGCCCCAGCCTGCGTCAGCCTCAGCCTGCGTCAGCCTCCGCCTCAGCCTCAGCCTGCCTCGGCCTCGGCCTGCCTCGGCCTCCCCCCCCCCCCCACCGCCCTCCCCATTCAGCCTCACCTTGTCTCAACTTCGGCCTGCCTCGGCCTCATCCTCAGCCTCAGCCTGCCTCAGCACCAGCCTCAGCCTCAGCCTGCCTCGGCTTGCCTCGGCCTCAGCCTCAGCTTGCCTCAGCCTCAGCCTCAGCCTCAGCCTCAGCCGGCCTCGGCCTCAGCCTGCGTCAGCCTCAGCCTCAGCCTCAGCCTTCCCAAGCTAATTTTGAATGCCCGGAGCCAACTGTAGGCCACTTCGTGTTCTTCGTGTTCCCAGAACACCACTCCCAGGCCACATTGTGAAGGCCCGGAGCCAACTGTGGGCCACTTCGTGATCGTCGTGCTCCCAGAACGCCAAGCCTGTGCCATATTTTGAATGCCCGAGCGGAGGCAGGCTGAGGCTGAGGCTGAGGCGCGCCGAGGCAGGCTCGTTCTGGGAACACGAAGAACACGAAGTGGGCTATAGTTGGCTCCAGGCATTCAAAATGTGGCCTGGGAGCGCCGTTCTGGACGCACGAAGAACACGAAGTGACCTACAGCTGGCTCCGGGCATTCAAAATGTGGCCTGGGAGTTGTGTTCTGCTCGCTCGCTCGCTCGCGCCCTGCACAGTCAGGCTGGCCCCAATCAAGGGGGGGGCGGTGAACTACGCGCAGGCAGGCAAGCCCGCCTCCGGCAGTGAGGAAAATACACAACAGACTCACTAATCAGTGCGAGGTGAAACGACTTTCAAGCTCAGCCCACTCCTTCGAGTTCCAGGCCGCGCTTGTCCAATCATGGCCGCACGTGTCTGCGAAACCGTCGGCCCACCTCCGCGCAGGGCGCCCGATGCGGTCTCTCTTGCTCTGGGCCCGGCCGGGGCTCCACATCAACACTTTGTAAGACCACTTGTGTGTGTCGCTTGACAGAAGCTTCCCTGCCAATTTCCATTTTCGGGCTCTGTACTGCGCAATCCAATCGGTGATCCCAGCGTCCTCCAGACGATGTTCGATATCCTGGGCTGTACGTTGAATCCACTCTACCCATGTCTCGAAAACTTCCTCTTTGTCCTCTCCATCAGAACTGCACGACGTCGAATTATCACGATCGTGCGTTATCCTCCACCCCCCAGAACCCACCACTAAGCGTAGCATTTGTCGTTGGTTCTTCAACAGCCTGCGCCCCATGTCGGCCGTCAGCTTCCAGCAGGCTGCGCCGTATAGTGCGCGCGGGGTGACCGCGGAGCCGAACAGCTGCAGCCTCGAACGAAGTAGAACAATTGCATTCGTGAGTTCATCTTTGAAAACAAAGAACTTCCTCCATGCGCAGCGCATCCTGTTGTCCAACTCCACGTTCTGTGAATATTGAAAACATATTTTCCTGCTTAGGTACTTGGTGGCCGAGTCGCGCGTCAACAGCTCAATGTGCATCCCGTTGACCATGACGTGACTGTCACCCGCCACCCCTTTCCTAGCCCGCACGTTCGTCAAAATCTTGGTTTCCCCGGGGCGCAGAGACAAGCCGTAACTCGCGCATGCCGAAGCCGCGTCTGCAAGCATGCGCTTCAGACCCGGCAAGGTACTGCTCACCAAAAGCACATCGTCTGCAAAACGTAAGTTCGTCAACCATTCACCGTCCAAAGAGAAACCGAGAGAACGTTGCGCCCACGATGCAATCAGCGGCCGGAAAACAAATTCCAACACTTTGTCGAGGAGCACCGGACTCAAGGGCCCCCCCTGTTTCGAACCCCTTCTAATGCAAAACACGCGGCTTGAATAATCGAGATGAACCACTCCCCTTTGAGAAGAGTACAACTTTTGTAATAATGCAACATACGGCCTCGGCACTCCCTGACGTAATAACGCTGCCCAGATGCTGTCGTGTGAAATGCTGTCGAGCGATTTTTTGAAATCTAATGCGGCAATCCAAAGCGGCCTCCCCCACTCATCACAAGTCTCCCGAAGCAGCGTGTAGGCGAGAAGGTGGTCCTCAGTGCTGTAGCCCGCGCGGAACCCTGCCTAGTCAACACATTGCGCCGCGCCCGAGATCGGCGTCGAGCGGCGCCGGAGAAGTCTGCTGAAGAGCTTGTACAATAACGGCGTGATCGTAATTGGGCGATAATTCCCAGGCAAGCGAGGGTCACCATCTTTAAAAAGAACAATAATTGAAGATTGCCTCCAACTGTCTGGAGTCTGCGCGCACGGGTCAACAATGTCATTGAACAGGGTGGTGATCATCTCTGCCAGGGCGTCTCCGCCATCCTTCAGCATTTCGCTTTTTATGCCTCCCCTGTCCATGGCCTTCCCTTTTCTTAAGGTTTTGATTTCGTGCCGAATCTCATCGCATGTGAATTGCCGCATGCGTTCACCCTCCGCGGTGCCCTGCAAAAGTTGCGGCCCCGATGCCCAATATAGGTCCTCGTAAAAATCTGCAAACATGTCCGCAATTGCTTGTCTTTCCCGGCGTGCTTTCCCAGACGCGTCCAAAGCTTCTGCAATAAAAGCTCGTCTTCGGATCGATTTCGTCCGCGGTATGTGCTTGATCCCTGTGAATTCATCCAACATTTTACCAATTCGTTGTCTCTGCTGCTGTCGTCGTATCCGTGTGACCTCCCTCTTGATGTTCTTGCTAATGGCTGCTCGTTCGGACGACCACTGAGGGGATAAATTCCTCCGTTCAGAAATCAACTTATCAAGGTAAACGTGATGTGTGTCCTTTCTGCTCGGTTTCGTCGACGCCGGAGCTGCTTCTCTGGCTGCCTCGCGCAGTGCCGCCTCCAGCATAGTGCACCTGTCGTCCACGATGCCGTTGTAAAGCTCTGGGTCACCCATCTTCGAAGCTACTTGCTCCAAAAACACATCTGGTCGATGCTGGACGTTGGTGTGCTTCCGCTTGCCGTTGCCTGGCTTGTCGGCAGCGCCACCTGACCCAGGGGCAGGAAGAACCCGGAAAGTAGCGCGAACAGCGCGATGGTCTGAACCAAGGTTCAAGGATTTAGTCGATTGTGCATATGTCAAACAAAACTGCGGACAACGACCAGCAAGTATGTCATCAAATTGTTTCTGTATGTTGTCTGTCCGCACAAACGTTGCACGGTCCACCTCCGCCTTCTCAAAAAAAGTGTTCGTTAAAATCATACCCTCCATGCCGGCCCAGTGCTTGAGTAGCCGGCCTCTGCAATTGCACCTCTTCAAGCCATATGCGCCTATTGCATGTCGTTCGTCTTCTTCTGGTATGCCCACTTCTGCTGCGTTGAAGTCGCCCCCGATGATCACGTGGGCCTTTTTGGTCTGCCCTTCACGTTTCAACTCCGAAAATGTCGCATATACCTCCTGTGCTTTTGCATCCGAGTACTTGTTGTGAGGAAAATATACAGAGATCAGCCGGACCAAAACACCATGCAGCTCGACGTCCGCAGTCAAAACCCGCTCGCTCACACAATGTATGTTGCCAATATTGCTTGCCCACTTGCGGCGCAGCAGGATCCCCACCCCTCTGGAGTTCTCCTCCCATCCACAACCGATGAAAATATGTCCACCTTCCGTTTCCCAGTACTCACATTTTTTCGCCCCTCCGTGTTTCGCTAAGCAGAACTGCGTCCCAACATATCCCCCGGAGTTCCTTCAAAAGTTCAGCCACTCGTCCGTCTGATTTCAGCGACCTGCAATTCTTTGAGAAAAAGGGTAGCTTCTTCGGCCCCTCGCCTTGCTGAGGATCGTCACGTTCACTTTGTTGTGCAAGCTCGGTTGCACCAGCTGCTCCAGAAATGCAAAGAGGCACGTCGCCAGATACTCGATGGTGCTGTCCTCTCCCTCCGCCTCCTCTGCATCGTCCCCCTCCGCTGCTTACTGGACCCTGAGGCCAAGGCTTCAAAGATGATCCGGAGCTCTCGAGTGAAACAGTTTGGTGAAATTCACAACTTGAAAGTTGCCTGGAAACACGAACGTCATCTGCCGCTGACGCTGCTGGAGTCGACGCTCCCCGGCCCAGAAGACACATAGGAAGATCCCCAACAATGTCTGCATATTTGCCCCTCCCTCCACCCCTGGACTTATTCTTGAATGTTGATTGGAACGTTGGCTGCTGCCCCGCAGTCTGCAAAATTTGATCGTCATGAGATTGTGCTTGTACAGGTACGTGCGACCCGGTGTCAGTGGCCGCCTGGGGTCACTCACTCTCCGTGTCCGGGTCAGGTGGCACCTTCTTCCACCAGTTCTTCATAGACTCGTCCGTCCACTGCATCTTGTACGAGTTTCCCTGATGATGATGTGCACCACTCCCCCCTTTCGCTAAACCATGATACTTTCTTTTCTTTGCCATCCGTCCCTGTGAATACCACCATTCTCTTCGGCCATACAATCTTCACAACTTTGTCCTTGAAGTTCTCGTGGCCCGCGAGGTGGTGCTTCATGTACCCCAGCTGCTTTTCCATGGCTCTCTCCTCTTTTGTTAATTTTCTGCGGAAAAAGATGTCGCCAAATATGTCTTTAGGGTTCGCAATGTCCCGGACCTTTTTGTAGAATGTTACTTTCTCCTGGACGGTCTGGAAGGATAGGGAACCAATTTTCGATGGAGTACTTGGGGCCGAAACTGAAATATTATGGTTGTCTCCCAAAAGTTTTTGAGCATACCCTCCAATTTAGACACGATTTGTTCTGCTGCGACGCGCTCAGCGAAGCCGAAAGCGATGACCTGCTTCGCCCGCAACTCATTATCCGTACCTTCCTTGCTCTTATCTTCTTGAAGTGGTCGTTGCCACGTGCTGCTCCGGGAGAAACCCGTAGTGCCCTTGATGACAGTCTTCATCTCCTCGATGTCCTTCCTCAGCGTCGCGTTCGACGTTTTTACTTATTGCACTGTGGTCTTCATCTCCTCCTTGGCCGCCTCCACCGCTTCCCCGGCCAGGTCCGCGGCAGCTTTCGCTTGCCGTGCGATGACCTTCGCCTCCGCCGCCTCCTTGTTCGTACTCTTCATATCTGTCCTCATGTCCTTCATCATGCCCATCATCTTCTTCATCATCCCCTTGATGTCCATCTCATCCTCCTCCGCCTCCCCTTCTCTTAAATCCGAGATGTCCGAATCATCATCCTCGTTCTTCTTTGCAATTTTTTTCTCCGGAGCCTCAGGGCTGCTGCCCTGAGGCTTCAGCTTCCGTCCGCCGCTTTCTGCAACTGCCGCTGCCATGCCGTACATGCCGCAAATTGCAGTAGTATGTATGTTGAGAAACTCTTGAGAAACTCTTGAGCCACGAAAGTGGCGTACAGTTGGCTCCGGGCAGCAGTGGCAGCACAACGCTGGGATCAGCGTGGGCGGCTTTGACAAGCAGTCAAGGCAAACTTTGGCACTTGTTGTTATTGTTGTTGGTTTCTCGTTTCCGGCAGAGACGTGGGCGGCAGCGTTGGAGCCCGTCGCATTCTCTCCTGTAGCACGCGCAAGGGTTTCTGCATCGGTTGGCGCAGTCCCCGCCCTGTCGCGGCCCTGGGAGTCCCCCGATGTCCTGAAACATTGCCTCGGGCGGCCACAAGACAGCACTGAGAGGCTCGAGGACGCTCCTTTGGGGCGCGCCCCCGCCCCGCACTCACCGCGGGCGCGCGGGGGGTCCGCACTGGCCGCAAGGGGGCGCGGCAGCCTGGGGGTAAGGAAGGGGCGGAGAACCCCCCAAAAAAAACAATCCCAAGGAGCGCCAAGATAGTCTCAGGGCATGCCAAGAGCCCCCCTCCCCCAGAGAGCCCCAAGAGGCTACCTCTCTTAGCGGGCCCCCAGAAACACAAAGAAATAATAACCCCTATGGTTTTGACTGATTTTAGTGTTCTCGCCTTCTCAGCCTGCCGACGCTCTGAGATGACACCAGAGGCCCCCGAGACCGCACCAAGACGGCACGAGGGGACCCCAAGAGAGCTCCCAGACGGCCCCAGAGGCGCCCAAGATCGCCCAAGAGGGGGAGGCACGAACCACAAGTTCTAGCTTTCCGTCCCAAGAGACACCCAGGAGGCCCCCTGGAAGCCCCGCGTGGCCTTTTTTTTGTGTCCTTGCGACATCGTCGTTCACCGCTCTCTGCACTCTCCCCTGCCCCGCGCGGGGACCACCGGTGTTGTGGGCTTGTCTGTCGCGCCCTACAATTGCCTCGTGGGCTGCCTCACGGCACTGTTGGCGGGTCTCTCGCCGCCCTGAGCAGCGACGCTTTGGTTGCCCTGTTCGCCTGTACCTGATGGGCTCTCACCTTGGTGCTCGGTCTTATCTTGCCCTGCCTATACCGCACACGTTTTGTCAGAACTAGCGCCTTTGGCGGCCTTACCGTCTCGCTGTCTGCGCCCCAGTACGGCTCGTGGGCCAGCTTGGCCGCGGCCCGCTCCCCTTATGAAGCTTAGTCAAGGGGTAGCTCGTTTCAGCTTCTTGCTGCGCCATCCTGCCCTCGCTTGGCCAGCTTCTTTTCCCCCCTACCGCCTCAGGCGGGGGGGGGGTCTCCTGGCTGTTTGTCTCTCCGAGGTTTCTCGGGATCTCGGCCGGGCAGTGCCATTCACCTCACGTGCTGGCTGGGGCACTGGCTGTCTTGCGCCCC